TGTGGTCAATGACATGAGACAAAGTGTATGTGAACTGCTGTATGGAAAGTGAATTTGCTCTGTAAATCTTCACCCAAATCACAATTAAAAAAAAAAAAATAGTGCTGGGAAAAGTTGCATAAAACTGAAACAAGATCCATACCTCACACCATGCACAGCACACAATAACAAACTCCAGATGGATCAAAGACTTAAATGTGAAACTTAAAACTATAAAGTTCATCAAGGAAAAACTAGGGGCAACTTAGGGGCCATAATTTATGGCATAAATAGACTGGCAAGCATAACCAATATGCATAAACAGCAGAAAAAAAACCTAGATGATTGGGACCTTGTAAAATTTAAATTTTTATATGCTTCAAAAGACTTCTCCAAAAGAATCAAAAGAGAACTTACAGATTGGGAAAAAATATTTGGCAATGACATATTTGGCAATGACATATTTGAAAGGCACTTAATTCTAAAATTTATAGAAAACTCTAACACCTCAACATCAAAAAAACAAACAATCTAATTTGAAAATGTGCAAAGGTCATGAGCAGGCACTTTACGAAAGAAGATATTCAGGTGCCTATAAACACATGAAGAAATGTTTGTGATCATTAGCCATTGTTGTTGTTGTTATGTGCCATCGAGTCAGACCCAACTCATAGTGACCCCTCCTTGGGTTTCTGCGGCAATATCACTATGGAAGTAGATTGCCCAACTTTCCTTCAAGGAGTGGCTGGTGGGTTTGAACCGCCATCCTTCTGGTTAGCAGTCAAATGCTTAGGTGCTACACCCCTAGAGCTCCCATAGAATAATGTAGAATCAGCAAAACTCTGCATGACTTGGATGAACTGTTGTGCTGCTGTTGTTATGTGCCGTCGAGTTGGACTCAACTCATAGCAACCCCTCCTTGGGCTTCCAAGGCAGTATCACTACAGAAGTAGATTGCCCAACCTTCCTTCTGATGAACTTGAAGGACATTATGCTGAGTGAAATAAGTCAATCACAGAAGGACAAATATTGTATTAGTCCATTATTGGTTACCAGGGATAGGAGGGGAGGGGAGGCAAAATTTCTAGATAGGTTGAAAAAAAAAAAATATGGAAACCGAAGATTATTAGTGGTTACCAGGGGTAGGAGGAAGGGGGGAGCTTTTGTTTGGGATGCATTGAGCTTATACTAATAGATGGTGGAATATTTTGGAAGAGGATAGCAATAGTTGTGGCACAACATGAAAAATGTCACCAATGTCCCTGAGCTGTAAATGTGGAAATTATTATGTTGGAGAATGTCTTGTTGTGCACATTTTCATCACAATAAAAGTTAAAAAAAAAAAAAAAAAAGACTAAAGTGCACCTAACCTGAGCCATGGTATTTTCAACTGCCTCGTATGCCTGTGGAAGCTAGAAAATGAACAAGACTGAGAAGAGTTGATGCCTTTGAATTGTGGTGTTAGAAAAGAACACTGAAAATACCATGGACTGCCAGAAGAACAAACACTTCTGTTCTGGAAGAAGTGAAGTTGGAATACACCTTAGAAGTAAGAAGGGCCAGACTTGATCTCATGTAATTTGGTCATGTTTTCAGAAGGGAACATTCCCTGGAAAAGGATATCATACTTGGCAAAGTAGTAGGTCAGCGAAAAGGGGCAAGACCCTCAAGAAGATGGATTCACACAGTAGCTGCCATGATGGCTTCAAGTATAGCAAGGATTTTGAGGATGGCACAGGGCTGGGCAGTGTTTCATTCTGTTGTACATGAGGTCGCTTTGAGCCGGAACTGACTCGACAGTACCGAACAACAACAACGTGTACAACATGATTCCTATGGGACATTCTAGAACAAGAAAGATTATAATAACCGAAAGCAGAACGGTGTTTTCAATGGCCTGGATGAGTGCAGGAGACTAAGCACAAGGGGCGTGAAGGAACTTTGGTTGGTTTAAGAAATATTCCACACTCTTATTTTGGTGGTGGTTAGATGAGAATAGATGTTTGTCAAAGTTCTTAGAACTCTATTCCTTTAATGAGTCAATTTTACTGTATGAAAATTATACTTTAAATTTATATAAAAGAGGCAAAAAATAAACTGGTAATAGTATTTGCAATTCATATCACAAATAACTTTCTTCCTTAATATCTAAAGTGATCATAGAAATATAGAATGAAAAGATTAATAACTTAACAAAACTAGAAAAAAATAATAAATTCTTATATAGCTCTTACTATGCTTCAAGTAATTATATATATATATATATATAATTATATATATATACATATATATAAGATGAGGCAATCTACTTCTGTAGTGATACTGCCTCGGAAACCCAAGGAGGGGTCGCTATGAGTGGGGTCCGACTCGACAGCACATAACAACAACAACAACATACATATATATATATATGTATATATATTTACATACATATATTTATAAAACTGAAAAAAAAAAAAAAACCCTCCCACTGCCATCGAGTAGATTCTGACTCATAGCAACCCCCATTGGGTTTCCGAGGCAGATGAAAATTAAGTTTTCAGAAGACATGAATGACAAAAAAAAAAGGGAATGACATTTATTATTAAGGATATATGAACTACTTACCAAAAAAGGGGGGCTCTGGTGGCCTAGTACCTAAGGCATTTGATGGCTAACCAGAAGGCTGGTGGTTTAAACCCCTAGCCACTCCTCGGAAGGAAGGTTGGGCAATCTACTTGCCTACAGATACTGCCTTGGAAACCAAGGAGGGGTCGCTAGGAGTTGGAGCTGAGTCGAGGGCAGTGAGTTATTTTTCTTTTTTGGTACCAAAAAGAAAAAAAAAAAAAAATGACTGTATATAACTAAAGTACTTGAGTCCAAAATATATGAAGAACTGCCAGAGATCAATATGAAAAATATAAATGGAATCCTATAGTATGTTTTATTTTATGTCTTATTTCTCGTACTCAATTTTATTATAATAAGAGTCATTCATGTTACTACACAGGGAGCTTTGGTAGTGTAGTGCCTAAGGCATTTGACTGCTGACCAGAAGGCTGGCAGTTCAAACCCACCAGCCACTCACTAGAAGGAAGGTTGGGCCTTGGAAACCCAAGGAGGGGTCACTATGAGTTGGATCGGACTCCATGGCAGTGAGTTTGGTTTATTTTTTGGTTTATGTTACTACATGTAGCTCTTTTATTCATTTTTATAGGTTTATACTTTATTGCAACTTTAGGACAACTAACTTATCCATTCTACTGCGGATGGAATTTGGGTTATTTTCACTGTGGGGCCGTACAAAATATACCCAGTGAATATTATTCAACATGCATCTTGGTACACATAACCTCAAAGTTATGCTTAGTAGAATTTCTGGGTAACAAAGTGTATTATCAAAATTTTAAAAAAGTACCCCATAACCTTTAGCAATCACTCCTATTCCACCCTACCCCCCAAATCCCCTCTAATCCTAGGCAATCACTAATATACAGATTCGCTTATTCTGGACATTTCATATCAATGTAATCATCACAATGGATGGGCTTCTTGTTTCTGGCTTGTCACTCAGCATAATGTTATCAAGGTTCATCGATATCATAGGACATATCTGTACTTCATCCCATTTCATTGGTACACATTCCTTTAACAAATAAGCTCCTAGGTCAATGGAGGCAGTTTTGACAACATGCTTTTTAATCTTCAAAACACTTTACAAATACAGGATCCTGTCTTATCCGGTAATAACCCTGTGAGATAGTAAGATTGGTGGATTCATTTATTCTCCATTTTTGGGTACTTAATATTTCTGTGTCTCAGATCCTCAACTGCAAATTTAAGCTAACAAGAGCATCTCCTGTGTCATTTTGTCAGGATGAGATAATTTATATAAAGAGGTGAGCATACTGCCCAGCATGTATATACTAAGATCCCCAACAAAGTTAGGCGCTGATGTTATCATTAAGGAGTTCTGGTGGCATAGTGCCTAAGATATTTGATTGCTAACCAGACGGTTGGCAGTTCAAACTCACCAACTACTCCATGGAGGGAAGACTGGGCAATCTTCTTTCCTAAAGATTTACCACCTCCAAAACCAAAGGGGGTCACTATGAGTCAGAATGCACTCAAAGGCAGTGAGTTTGGTTTTTTGAGTTTGGGATGTTATTACTGTCGAATGGGCACGATTCCATCATTGGGTGAATTTTGATGACTGCGAGGGAGTTAAATGCTTGTGGCGCTCTTTGAGGTGGATTAAAACCATAAACCCCAGAGTGTCAGAGGTTTCAGGGAAAGATGAGCTTTCTAACTGAAGACAAAAGAAAAAGTTTATTGCGTGGCCTTTTCCAAAGCCTTCTCCTGGATTACATGCAGGTTCTCCCGGGACTCCAGGGTTTAGCCACTGCTCTGCTCCACCAGCAACTAGCTAGTGTCTAGGGGGCGATACGAGTGGGAAGGGCGGGGCTTGTCGGACTAGGTGGAGAGGAGAGGCGAGCGCAGATGGGCGGGGCGTTAGGAGACCAGAAGCGACTAGGTGGAGATCCTGGCTGTCCTGAGGGCGGGAAGTCTGAGCGGGGATCGCTGCCGGCTAGGACAGTGGAAGAGTGGACAGGCATCTGAAACATGCTCGCGGCTTTGGGCTCCCTGGCAGCTGGTCTCTGGGCTAGGTTCCACTTCCGGACTCTTCTGCTGGGTGCCGTCGCCTTTCTGTTCTTTGTTGATTTCCTCAAAAGGCGGCGCCCAAAAAACTACCCACCCGGGCCCCCAAGTCTGCCTTTCGTTGGCAACTTCCTTCAGCTGGACTTTCGAGAGCCACATCTAACGCTTCAGCGGGTAGGAGCGGGCAAAGGTCCTTTTCCTGACGCAGGGCAAGGGATATCCCGGGGAACCGGGTGAGGGAATGAGCCTGGTGACGCAGCGGTTAAGCGCTCGGTTATGGTTGGAACTCACCAGCGACTCCGCGGAAGAAAGATGTGGTTGTCTGCTTCCACAAAGATTACACCTTGGAAACCCTATAGGCAATTATATCCTGTCCTGTAGAGTGACTATGAGTAGAATGGATTCAGCGGGCCGCGGGATTTTTCGTTGTAGTTTTAGGAGGACCAGATTTTGGGTGGTTCTGCTGCTAATTCTGGTAATCTGGGTACAACCTAGTTTGAGCCTTGTTTTCATCACTAATCAAGTAGCATTATTCTGCTTGCTCTTTGTAAAATGGGTAAAATATTAAATGTTTCCTGTATAATTATTGTATCATTAAATGTGTGCTAGGCATGTTATGTTCCTTAACTCATCTTAATGTATGTTATCTTGTTAAATATTGCAACTCCCTATTTATGATTGTCTTGTCATCTTTAATATTGTTATTGTTGAAAAAACACCGTAGTTTCCTTTGGGAAAGTACGTATTTATAAAACGGTGATAATCTTTACCACTTCTCAATTGTATTAGTCACCACCACACCAATTGACCCTCTTTTCAAACTCCTCCACGTGAGATCAGACTTTGTACTTTGCTAATGTCAACATTTTACCTCTTAAAGTGGAACACTGATGTCTGATCATCATTTAAGTGCTCTCACAGTTGCTCCTTTATGATATAATTCTTAAATATTAATTCTACATATATTGAAAACCACATCAGACACTGTTTTAGTTTTCTAATGCTGCTATACTAGAACTATCGCAGTGAGTGGCTTTGTTGTTGTTATGTGCCATCGAGTCGGACCCAACTCATAGAAACCCTTCCTTAGGTTTCCAAAGTGGTATCACTACGGAAGTAGATTGCCCAATCTTCCTTCCCAGGAGTGGCTGGTGAGTTTGAACTGCCAACCTTCTCGGTGGGTTTAACAAACAGAAATTTATTTCATTACAGTTTAGGAGCTCTCTCTGGGGAAGATCTTTGAGATCACTCTTAACCCTAGATCTCAGAGTTTCTTAGCACAGGGACCCTGGATCCAAAGGACTCAGTCGGCTTCCAGCTCTTCTTTCTGGTGGTAGAGGTCCCTCATTCTCTGCTCACTTCTCTCACCTGTTATCCTTTGTCAGATAAAAGGTGATGCAGGCCACACTCCAGGGAAACTCACTTTATGCAGGATCAGGGCTGACCTGAGTAAGGGTGTTCCATCCCACCCTAATCTTCTTACAACTGATTGGCTGATCACATCAGATTACATCATGGGGGATGATGACATTGTTCTCTATCTGCCAGATTACACCATTACATAACTATCAAACCACTGAGAATCATGGCTTAGACAAGTTGACACACAGTTTTTGGGGGACACGTTGCAGTCAATGACATACACTATTATAATTGTTGCTTCTGTCTACCATGATTTTAAAAACTTAAGAAGAAAAGAATAGTCTGCTTTGTTTACCTATTTCTTTACCTTCCCTGTTCTTTCTTCCTTCCCGATGTTTCAAGTTTCTCTACCATTATAATTTTCTTTCTCTCTGAAGAACTTTCTTTAGATTTTATATCTATCTATCTATGTAATAGGTTTCCTGGCAACAAATTCTTTTAGCTGTCCTTCATCTGAGAATATATTTATTTCACCTTTATTTCTGAAATATCGATGAATATAGGATACTGAGTTCACAGCTCCATTTTTACAGTACTTAACTATCTTGTGCCATTTCCTTGTGGCCTCTAAAGTTCCTGATGAGGAATTTGTTCTCATGTGAATGGTTGTTCTCCATAGGTAATGAGTTATTTCTCTCTGGCTACTTTCAAGAGTTTTAATTTGTCTTTAGTTTTCAGAAGTTTGATTATGATGGGTCTTGGTGTATATGTCTTTGCATTTATCCTGTCTTGGGTAGATTTCTTTGGATTTGTTTTGTTTGGATTCACCTAGCATTTGACTGCAATCCAGAAGGCTGCCGGTTCAAATCCACCAGCCACTCTTTGGAAGGAAGGTTGGGCAATCTACTTCTGTAGAGAAACCTCCTCGAAAACCCAAGGAGTGGGTCGCTATGAGTCAGGATCGACTCAATGTCAGTGAGTTTGTTTTGTTTGAGTTCCTTGTATAGGCTTAGGTCTTTAATCAAATTTAGGGAATTTTCAGCCGTTTCTTCAAATGTTTTCCACCTTACATTCTATTCCTCTCCTTCTGCGACTCTTGAAATCTAATGTTACAAGATAGTGTGTGATGAAGTATGTGGTGTGAACTGATAATCAAAGGCGAGATAGGAAATAAGACCACTGTTGATGGGAAAAACTACCTGTTATGGAATATGAGACTATATTGGACTGAACTTGAAAGAAATATTTGGCATATGGCAATGTGGACTGATAGAAACAGGAGATTTTTAATGAGGGAAAAATGGCATGAGCTAAAACACAGTGAGAGGGCAATGAAAAAACTGACCTATTTGTATGGGAAAATGGGATCTTTTTTTTCCTAATTCAAAAACTTCCTCTAAAGTTCTCTAAAGTGGCTATATGATTTATTGCACGTTTAAGAGAAAGATCTTGTCAGACTGAAGTGGGAAAGGGGTAGATAAGTTGGATAAATGATAAATTAGGACATATATCAAGCTGCTGTAACAAAGGAACCCTGAAATATAGTGGCATAATTAACATTGAAATGTATTTATCTCTAACAAAGGAGTTCAGAAGCAGGTGTGCAGTCCAGGATTGGGGGCTTCTCTGTACCCCTATTCACAAACTCAATTTCTTTCTATTACTCTACTCCCCCATTAATATTATCATTTCTGATTCCCCTATTTCTTAATTTTCTCTTGACAAATGATTTTTTTGTAAAGACAAGAACTAGTTAATAAGAAGAATCTGTATCTTCTATTAGATTGTCAGCTCTCTACCTGCATTGTAGCATATGTCATCTTTTGTTATGTGTTATACTTTTCTGCAGTCACCCTCTCCCAAGAGACTGATACCACAATATCATATTGATCTCTGAATTGTCTCCATGTATAACATAGCAAAGTGAATAGAAACTGGCAGTTCTTAAGCATCTCATGAACTTTCAATTGTGCTCATATTTTATTCTTACAGATTTTTTTCTCAGAAATCTAGCATAGCCCCCAAAACTACCTGTGAAACTGGTATTCTTATCCAGAGTCTGTGTGCCCCAGGGGACTGGTGAATCCCTGAAACTGCATGCACAGCTGTATTCATATGTACAGGGTATTACTGGAGCAGATCCGTCATTTACCGTAGAGGGTCAAAGGATTCTGTGATTCCAAAAACGTTAAGGAGTACTGTTATGCAACTTCATACTTCATTTCCTTCAATTTCTTTCTTCTTTTTCTTTACTGAATAAAAATACCTTTTTAAACTATGAAAGTAATACACACTCATTGCAGCAACATTTAGTAAAAGACTGAGTTTAGTAAAAGAGAGAACTTGGACCTCCCTCAGGCCCAGCACCTCTATTCCCAGCACCACACACACATACACACACAAACATACACATATACTCAGCAAGACTTCTTCTAGGGCTTTGGTATATGTCTTTCCATATCTCCATGTAATGAAAATAAACTTATATGTCCTTTAGGTAATATTTTATTAGAGATTCTATATAACAATTTTTTTAAAAAGTTGAATAGCCCAACACAAAATGTATGTTTAAAAGACATAAATGGGTGATCAAAAAATGCAACATACAGATTGGGAAAAGGTGTTAAACCTCAGTAAAATATCAAAATGACATGCATTTTTTGCCTCTCAGAATAACACTTGGGCATGCAAACACACACACACACGCATGCACACAAATACCCAGTTCTGGTGAAAGTTCAGGGGAACACACTCTTGCACTCACTGCTGGAAGGATTATGAATTACTATACCCTTTTCCCTTTTTCCTTTTCTTCTTGTGTGTTTATTGTGTTGACTCTTAAGTCTAAAAATTTAGATTAAGTGGAATTTCTCTCAACTTTATATATCTCCTGGTTCAATCTTTGTCTTACAAACCAAAAAAAAAAAAAAAAACTGCCATCAAGTTGGATCCGACTTATAATGACCCCTCATTGGGTTTCCGAGGTGGTATCACTATGGAAGTAGATTGCCCAGCCTTCCTTCTGAGGAGTGGCTGGTGGGTTTGAATAGCCAGCCTTCTGGTTACCATCCACTTCTAATTTTTCTTTGGTCTCAACATTTATTTTGCTTCAACTTACTTTTTAAATGCTAATCCATTTAGAATTTTTATTCCTATTATAAGATTTTCCATCTTTTATTGCTTTTTTTTTTTTGCTTTCGTACCTCCTATTTTAATGCTTTTCTTTTTCTAATCTCATTTCTGATTCTAAGCCTGTGTTAGCTTTCAGAGCCATCTTATTTTTAACATCTTCTGTTCCCTTATTCTCTGTTACTATTTTCTTTCTTTCTTTTTTTAAAGCATTGTTTAAAGATGCACAGAGAAAAGTATGCTTTACTTTAGGAAATCTTCTCAGATGCTTAATATAATCCAATGTAAAAATACTGACGAAATGGCACATTGTTTTCCTTTGAGAGATGTTAACCATCATTGTCATCATCATAACCAATAAAATTATTGTGAAACCAGGACTCCAGGAAGTCATTTGACCTGTCCTTGGTTACATAGTTGACCATGTCATAAAAGTTGTTGATTAAGTTCTGTGAACTAAAAATAACCATGGGTCAGGAGCTAGTGGAAATGGAACTCTGGGGAAGTTTGCTTCGGTAAACACAGATTGCATATGAGGTCCCTCCCAAGTACAGGTTGAGATCTAGCTTATGTCACATTGTCAGTTAGGAATCATTTTACTTAACCTGAAATTTTGGCTCTTCTAAAAACACCCTTATTGAATGTTCTAAATGAGTAAAGAAATCTTTTTTGCAAGGCCTAAGAAGTTCACCCAGACACCCAGCAAGATGAACTCAAACATCTACTAGATTTATATCTTATCTTTTACTGCCATTTCTTAGAAGCAAACACAGGTACTTTGGAGGCAGATTAACTCGAGACTGCATCTTAGCACTGTTCCCACTAGCAAGAGAGGGCATACTGTGCTACAGATGAACAGTTTGACAGAGGAAGTTGGGCCAAAAGAACAATGAAAGGATTGAATCCTAGCTTAATGTGGTAGCGGCATGGTGGTATGAGACAGAATTCATTGTATTTGCTCTGATAGGGATGATTAAGTCCAGGGTTGTGAGGAGGACATATTGTTGTTGTTGTTGTTGTTGTTAGGTGCCATCGAGTCATTTCTGACTCATAGTGACTCTATGCACAGCAGAACAAAACACTGCGTGGTCCTGTGCCAGCTCCATGATCCTTGTTAGACTTGAGCTCATCGCCGCAGCCACTGTGTCAATCCATCTTTTTGAGGGCCTTCCCCTCTCTCGTTGACCCTCCACCTTACTAAGCATGACATCCTTCATGGTGAACACAAGGAGGACATGGTGAAGTGTAAATGTATGAGGACTAGGGAGGAAGGACCAGAGCCACTTGGAGGAAATGGAGCCCTTCTGTTTGATACCACTGTCTGCAGCTAGACACACCCAGGCAGATAAGAAGCAGAAGCAGTCTTTACTTGGATAGAGTCACCTCCTGCATAGACACATTTAGAAGGACTTTGATTAATGACCATTCACTGCCACCCAACTCACACTAGCATATACCTGCACACTTGTGCATACTTAAGAACACCTAAGCACTCTTCCATTCACTCTCACTTTCTCTTTCACTCTTTCACTTACTAAACTGTTAGATTCTGGAGCCATCTCAAGACTTCTTGGTCCTTGGACCTTACATAATGCCTGTCCTATCCCCTGCACCACTCATTATCTTTGCCACCTTGTCTAAGCTGCCTCATTATTCCTTTCCTGAAAGATGAAAAAATCAGTACTTCTGTAGGGTGGTTGTCACATTAAATGAGACAAAAGTGAAAGATGCTTGCACGTGGCTAGTAGTGATATGAATCATTTTGAGCATGAGTGCCTTCCTCCCACACACTCCTGTGCTCTATTCCTCTCTTATTGGTGACCACATCCCCTGCAAGCAGAGCCCATTTTGTCCTCAGAGACTCAATGAGTGGCTGGGTGCCAGGCACCAAAATACAAAGTGCCTTTCTTATTGCTACTTTCAATCTTCCTCACAGAACTTTTGAGGGAGAAATAGCAACACCCACTTTATAGTTGGAGAACTGAGGCTCGAAAAAGTGAAGCAACTTGCCCCATAACCCACAACTAGTGAGCCACGGAGTCCAGATTCACATATCACTCTCTAGAGTGCTTTTCTCCATATATGGCCCCAGCCTTCTTAGGACAACCCTTAACTTTCCATTATCAACTACATGTCAAGGAATGGGACACTGTCTTCTAGTTGAAAAATATTCTGATTTATAACAATTTACATTTGCTACACAGGAAGGTTGGGCAATCCTACTTCCGTAGTGATACTGCCTCGGAAACCCAAGGAGGGGTCGCTATGAGTCGGGACTGACTCGATAGCAAATAACAACAACAACAACAACACCAGACTTAGTCTTACCGCACTTGGAAAATCTCCTGTAAAAGACTTCTTTATGTATCTGTACGATCTGAATTCCCAGGTGTATAGTAGAGCTGACAAGGGACAAGGTGGTAGTCACTTCTTGATCACAGCCAGCTACCCAGAGGGACCGAGTAGTCAAACCTGTGGGCCCAGGACCATGGTCACAGGGGACATCAAACTCAATTGGCATAACATACTACACAAAACATTGTTCCACCTCCTACTTTGGCAAGTAGCGACTGGGATCTTAAAAGCTTGCAAGCCACCATCTAGATGCAATGATGGGTCTCTCCTCATCCAGAGCAGAGAAAAATGAAGAAAATCAAAGATTCATGGAAAGAATTAGTCCTAGCGACTGGTACACCATGTGATCCGCAGCCTGTATGATTATGAGACCAGAAGAACTAGATGGTGCCCGGCTACCACTGTCAACCACTAGGAGGGGGATCTATGTAGGATATCTGGATAGAGAGGGAGAAAAATGTGGAACAAAATTTAAAATCATTTGGAGAAAAAAAGGGGGGGACCAGATTTGCTGGTCTGATAGAACCTGGTGGAACCACTGAGAGTATGGCCCCTAGCTGCCCTTCAGGTCTGGAATTGAACCTACACCTGTGGCTTCCAGCCAAACAAAAGACAGGCATATGAGTTGAACATTTACCTGAGGTAGATACACTCCTTGGAGAGAACAATCATTGGAGAAAGAAGGGCTGTTTATGCACAGAGAGACAACTCAGGGAGCAGGAGTATATGGAGGGATGGACACAGGGAAGAGGTAATTATCAGGAGGAAATGGGAGGGGACCTATTGCATTGTGGTAAACTGTAATCAGTGTCATGAGACAAAGTGTGTGTGAGCTGCTACTCTGTAAATTTTCACCCAAATCACAATTTTTATTTATTTTTTTTAAAAAAAACCTCTTTAAAGCACTGAAGAGCAAAGATGTCTCTGAAGATTAAGGTGTGCCTTACTCAAGCCATGGTATTTTCAATAGCCTTGTACACATGTGAAAGCTGGACAATAAATAAGGAAGATCAAACAAAAGTTGATGCTTTAGCATTGTGGTGTTGGAGAAGAAAACAGAAAGTACCGTGGACTGCAAAAGAATGAACAAATCTCTCCTGTAAGAAGTGCAGCCGGAATGCTCCTTAGAAATGAGAGTGGCCATGCAAGGTAAAGTGGAGGGTCAGCAAAAAAGGCAAAGACCCTCAACAAGATGGATTGACAACAGAGGCTGCAATGATGGGCTCAGGAATAGGAAGGATTTTGAGGATGGTACACAACCAGGTAGTTTTTCGTTCTGTGGTACATAGGGTTGTTATGAGTCAGAGCCACCTCAATGGCACCTAACAACAACATCAACAACACAAGACTTAAAGAGCTCTGCTGGCATGGTGAGTAAAGCATTCAGCTGCTAACCAAAAGGTTGGTGGTTCAAAATGTATTAGAGCTTAACTTCTAAAACACTTGGGTTTGTGGAAGGCTGTGGTCTGCCTTGGGAGCCCTAACTACACTTTGAGGTATGACATAAGTTCTGATGCCATTTGGGTTCTTTCTGACCATAAAGTAGCATTGTGGCTATGCACAGAGAAGTTCCAGGACAAACCTAGCGAAGGGCAGTTTGCCTTCAGGAAGAATATGTTTGAAAATACATTATACTCACACAAAGAACTAGAGAACTTGCCTGACCTTGTCCTTTTCTAATTTAAATTAAATTATTAATTTAAGTTAATAAATTAAATTATTTCTAATTTAAATTAATTTAATTTAAAGGTTGGGGTCTTGGTATTGTTTGATGGCCACCTTATGGCTAAGACTCAAGGTGCATGGTCATGAGTCATAGCCTGTGCTCTGGTGGCGTAGTGCCTAAGGCATTTGACTGCTAACCAGAAGGCTGGCAGTTCAAACCCACCAGCTACTACTCCTTGGAAGGAAAACTGGGCAATCTACTTCCATAGAGACACCACCTCAGAAACCCAAGGAGGGATTGCTATGAGTTGAATCCACTTGACGACAGTGAGTAACCAGGTAGTCAAGGCCCAGAACCAATCCTGTAACCCTTTCTTTTAATCCCAATCATGGTATTTTCTTTGCTTCTGTAGTCCCACCTGCAACAGTGATTAATCTGTCTATCACCAATCATGATTTTGTGATGATTCCCCCTTTTTAAAAAATCATGTATAATTACCCACATGGCCAAACTCAATGGACTCCATTCAGCTTTCTCATGCTGATGGTTTCCCTCATCCAGGATGATTGTCTTTGTTTCATCTTTGTCCTGTCCAAGACTTAATAAAAGTGTCTCTTGAACCTGTTTGAATTTGGGGTCTCTTTTCCCCCTAATACTGAACCTACTAGCTGCTCCACAGGAGAAAGATGTGGCAGTCTATTACTGTAAAGATTTACATCCTTGGAAACTCTATGGGAAATTTCTACTCTATCCTGAAGTGTTGCTATGAGCCAGAATGGACTTGATGACCATAGCTTTGGTTTTTAGTTTTACACCAGATTTAGAGTAACCATAAGTTAGCCTTCTTTTTGGGATCCAATGTGCTGACTTATTTCTCTCCTTGCATTGAACTCTATTTATCTACCAGGTATAATTCATTGTAGGAACCTGTAGTGGGTGCTCATTCAATTCATGCTTCTTGAATATATTACTGAATATTTCAGAATAAAACTTCCCAATCCTATATTGAATTGAATATAAGTCTAGCTGAGAGGAAGAGGAGAAAAGGACACAGACAGAAATGCTGTCATCAGACTACAAGTCAGAATTTTGAAAACCAGGAGTGGTTATAGTAATCAGTCTTTGAAGTCCACATTTTCCAGAGTGTGAAACTAAGGCACATAGTGGTTAAAGGGTTTGCTGTGTAACAACAGAAAATCTGTGGCACACTGAACTAATATTTCTGCTCTGAGTCACTAGGCTGCATGCACAAACACACATATACATACACACAACTACCTTCATTGTAAGCCCTTGAACCAAGACACCCATGCCCTTCATTCCTAGATACACAGAAATGTGCATATTCAATGTGTCTGTTTTTCAGCTTGTAAAGAAATATGGGAACCTGTTTAGCCTGGACTTGGGGAACATCCACAGTGTTGTTGTAACTGGATTGCCATTAATCAAAGAAGTCCTTGTCCACCAGGACCAAAACTTTGTGAATCGCCCCATGACTCCTCTGCGAGAGCATGTCTTTAACAGAAATGGTAAGTTTCTTTTCTTCTTCTTTTTTTTTTTTTCATGATTATGTGGTTTATTAGGGAAATTAACAGGCTACAATTCAAGTTTAGGAACATGCTCAGGATACAGTTCTTTGATAAGGACCGTCTCCCCTCTGCTGTGCCCTCAGAGTCATCTCTCAGCCCTTGGCCTCTTGGCCTGGCCTCTGCCCTGCTGGGGCAAATGTTACAAAGCTCTTTTAGCTCTGCTGATAGGTACACCTAGGTGCACCCCACTCTGCCAGCAAGTCTTCTGCCCAAGGGCACTCAGCTTTCTCGCTCCGTGGGGCAGGAAAGCCTGCCACTCTGTCTGCCTCTTGGTTCCACTGTGACTGTCTCTCTGCTGGGGCATCTCTCTGCCAAGGAAGATGAGTGCAGAGATCTCAGGTCCAAGGACATGCTCTACTTCACCTCCAGCTCTTCTTTCTTAATTACAGTGAGATTCCCCAATGGTAAGTTTCATGACAATTGCATGATATGTGTATTTGATGCTGTTAAAAAAAGCCAGGAACCTGGACAGAGGAGCAGTCAGCCGCAGGGTTCCAGGTGAGGAGAGGGAACTCAGGCATGCCCAAAGCAGCAGGGCAGGAGAGTGGAAGAAAGGGGATTAAAAGCCAGGAACCTGGACAGAGGAGCAGTCAGCCACAGGGATCCAGGTGAGGAGAGGGAACTCAGGCATGCCCAAAGCAGCAGGGCGGGAGAGCAGGAGAAAGGGGGTTAAAAGCCAGGTACTTGGACAGAGGAGCAGTGAGCCACAGGGATCCAGGTGAGGAGAGGGAACTCAGGCATGCCCAAATCAGCAGGGTGGGAAAGGGGGAGAAAAGGGATTAAAAGGCCCAGGAATCTGGACAGAGAAACAGTCAGCCTCAGGGACCCTAATAAGGATGGTACGAGAAGTTGCCAACAGGGAGACAAACTTGTCTGTCGGTTTGTCCTATCACGGTGACATGTTGATGTGAGTTTTGAGGCTGAGCCACTGGTGTTTCAAACCCAGTGGGTTGCACATGGTGCACAGGTATCAGCCCAGCTTACAGACTGAGACAGACTAGGAAGAAGGAAGAGGCCATCCACTTCTCAAATAATTGGCCAGGAAAAACCTTATGAATAGCA